TGAGTTGAAAAAGTTGCGGTTGTGTTTTGTATTTAGTAAGAATGGTGTATTTAGTAAGACTGCTGTATTTAGTATGAATGGTGTATTTAGTAAGAATGCTGTATTTAGTAAGAATGCTGTATTTAGTAAGAAAGCTGTATTTAGTAAGAATGCTGTATTTAGTAAGAATGCTGTATTTAGTAAGAATGCTGTATTTAGTAAGAATGCTGTATTTAGTAAGAATGGTGTATTTAGTAAGAATGCTGTATTTAGTAAGAATGCTGTATTTAGTAAGAATGGTGTATTTAGTAAGAATGGTGTATTTAGTAAGAATGGTGTATTTAGTAAAAATGGTGTATTTAGTAAGAATGGTGTATTTAGTAAGAATGGTGTATTTAGTAAGAATGCTGTATTTAGTAAGAATGCTGTATTTAGTAAGAATGCTGTATTTAGTAAGAATGGTGTATTTAGTAAGAATGGTGTATTTAGTAAGAATGCTGTATTTAGTTAGAATGGTGTATGCACTCAGTGATTTGTCAAGGGACGCATCATTTTTTCTGCTTTTGAAACCCAACCCTCTACACTATGCTAACAAACTGTCGTGAACCCAACCCTCTACACCATGCTAACAAAGTGGCTTGAACCCAACCCGCTACACCATGCTAAGAAAGTGTCGTGAACCCAACCCTCTACACTATGCTAACAAATTGGCTTGAACACAACCCGCTACACTATGCTAACAAAGTGGTTTGAACCCAACCCTCTACACTATGCTAACAAAGTGTCGTGAACCCAACCCTCTACACTATGCTAACAAAGTGGCTTGAACCCAACCCGCTACACCATGCTAAGAAAGTGGCTTGAACCCAACCCTCTACACCATGCTAACAAAGTGGCTTGAACCCAACCCTCTACACCATGTTAACAAAGTGGCTTGAACCCAACCCTCTACACCATGCTAACAAAGTGGCTTGAACCCAACCCTCTACACCATGTTAACAAAGTGGCTTGAACCCAACCCTCTACACCATGTTAACAAAGTGGCTTGAACCCAACCCGCTACACCATGCTAAGAAATAGTCGTGAACCCAACCCTCTCCACCATGCTAACAAAGTGGCTTGAACCCAACCCTCTACACCATGCTAACAAAGTGGCTTGAACCCAACCCTCTACACCATGTTAACAAAGTGGCTTGAACCCAACCCTCTACATCATGTTAACATAAATTTTCCTGAATCCTCTGGACGACGTCACGTACGCAGTGTATCTTTCAGACATTTTTCATCGTGTTGGGGGGGGGGGGGGGGCTTTAATTTTCTGATTGGCCGGACGGACACTGACTGAAGACTGAGCATATATTTTGAATATTAAATCTTTTGCGTTCGATGTGTGTATATCCCCCCCCCCCCTCGCCCTGGAGATAACTCTGGACATACCTGCATGTTAACGAGTAGTCTTTTCCTCTCAATCTCAGCATGTTCTACATCATGTTTTCTTCTTCGTGAGGGGGTGGTGCTGGAAGGGGAGAGGGGGGTGGTTGTGGGGGTGGTTTTAGAGGGGGTGGTGGTTGTGGAGGTGGTGGTTGTGGTTGTGGTGCCGGTTGTGGAGGGGATTGTAGGAGGCGTGGTTGGTGTCGCAGCTAGTGTGTCCTCGCTGTCTCCTGTCTGGGTTGCTGATGTGTCCGTGTCGTGCACCTCCATGTTGGTGTCGTGTGTGGTCAACATCAACCAGGACACCAGCACTGATGTAGGTAGTTGTGTTTGACCCCAGCACTAGATGTACATCTGTTGGCACTAGCAGTAGTTCTGATGGATGAACGATTGCAATTAAACTTTATAGATACAATTTGAATTAATTGCGTTGACAGTAATACAATTGTTGGAATGATTCTGAATACCGTCGTCCAGAGGCGTAGCAAGGGCGGGGCGGGGGGTGCGGACCGCACTGGGTGACACCATTTAGGGGGGGGGTGACACCAAGGCAAAATAATCTCAAAATGTACAGAAGAAAAATGCTTTTTGCCAGTTCTATTAATGATTAATTTAAGTTAAATAGTCTTTTTTAACGTACTAACTATAGAGAAAACAATTCTACATCCAACTGTATTATTTGCAGATTACAGATAAACATTGTTACTATTAAGTCTGCAGTGATTAAAGATTATACACATACACACACACATATTATATATATATATATATATATATATATATATATATATATATATATATATATATATATATATATATATATATATATATATATATATATATATATATATATATATATGTATGTATATATATATATATATACTTTGTTTCTTGAGGGTGGGGGCATCACGAAGTGCCGCACCGGGTGACACCGACCTAGCGACGCCACTGCAGTCGTCTAATAATAGACTCTTCCAAAATAAGGTGAGTTAAGTTGTTACTAGTATTGTAAACTCGTCTACTTTTATGTTTAGATATCAGGGTAGGACTAAGTTTGGGGCTCGGATTAGGGATAGGCTTAGTATTGACATTAGCAAGTCATTTGCGTATTTAATTAGCTACCTAACGCCCCATTTTGTAAAGAAGATGCTATTATTGCACCATAGTTGAACACTGGTATAAGAAATCCACGCCCTCTTAGAGATTACAGGAAAGAAAGTGGGAGCTATCTCCCCTAAACTTTCTCGTATTTTCGTGTTTATTTAATTTGTTTCCTCTTTATTTTGTTTTTCGTTCTTTTGTCTGTCGTGCTTCGTCATCGATCGAAACTGGCGAGCGAAATTTCGACCACTCCTAACCGACCGAAACTTTGCAAATTTAATAATTGTGTTTTATAATTTTTGTTTGTAATGATTATACTTGTGAATAAATCACGGGAGTAAAACTTGTATAAACGTGTTTCAAGATTGGTCATCTAGTCATCAAGAGGTATAGAATAATGATCGTTTGCTCATTTGCTTACATTTCACAGTTCAAATCAGCTTTCCATATTTTCACATCTTTTAGCCTCTAATTGTGACAATAAAACACAAATACCTTCACAACGACATTTTAATCAAAAAATATTTTAGACTTAGTGACAGCAAAAATGGAATTAAAAGACAAAATACTAGTGAAACAAACGTTTTGTTTTTAATTGCGAACGTGAATTTAGGATATCTTTTATCAATAAATTTCTTTACGTGAGATAATAAAAGGAAAATTTTGTTACCTCCCATTGTTGTAATTTCCTCTGTATTCCAAGGGATATAATCCATGTATTTTTTTCTTTATACGGTAACCTCCCTTTCTAATTTAGGAAACAAAAATAAATCGGTAATGGTTTCCCTTAATAAACCTTCTCGTATATTCTTATGGAACAGTACCCTCATTCCTGCCTGAAATTTTAAATTCGCCCCCCCCCCTTCTCGTTAAATTTTCAAGTGCCACCACCCTCCCTCGTAGAAATATCTGAAAGATTCCATCTTAAGTCTGATCTTGTCGTGTTTTATGCTGCTAAAACTCTGATATTACCACAATTTACCCATCGAGGTTTCAAGAAAAAGTGGCAGACCCTAAGGAAAAATATCGATGAGCCAACAGGAACAGTGCATACTTTCTCGTATATGCAGTGGCGGATTAAGGGGGGTGCTGAAAGGGCTGCAGCTACGGGCCCCCGATTTTTAGGGGCCCCCAAATTTACCACCTAATTGTAACTAGTAGTAAAGGCATTAAAAAAAACAAAAAAACATCTACATTGGTCAGAATACAATAGGATATCACATTACGTTTTTTCCCCAAATTTACATACCAGGTACAAGGGGGTGAAGGCGGAGGGAGGGGGGGCGGAGGGCTCACTTAATCGACCCATCGCCATCCACCTCAGGTAAAACAATCTCCAGGCGACCGTAGTTCTCTTCCTGCACATAACAACTAGGTGCGACACTAATGTCTTCCTATAAAATACAGCATTGTTCAAGTTGAGATGGGGAAGGGGGGGGGGGGTAACTCACTAGGCCTAACATCAACCGTGGCCTCAGTTGTAACAATAAACAATGGCGAACTTTGACCTTTAAGTATTTTTCCAATTTAATTAAACTGTGAACTCTGTCCGACCCGTTAGGGTAATGGAAACTGGAACCTCTTTTGTTGAGCTTGGCATATCACCCCCCCCCCCCCCCCACTTCCGGCACGTCCCCAAACTATATCTTCCTCCCCGAAATCCCATTCGGAATTACATTTGTTGAGTCAGTCATTCTTTTGGATTTATTCGCACGGAGTCTACTCAAGAGTTCAAAATTTTTCTTGATTTCCAACCCTCCACCATTATCCAGGCTTCAGACTTTTCAGATAGACAAAGTAATCCTAAAGGCTCGTTCATCAGACCTATATGTCAAAAAATTGCTTGCTGGAGAAAAAACGACAATTTGCAATTTCAGCAAAGAGCCGGACTGTTAATTAGATTCAGCCTTGTTTTTTTTTTTTAAATTCTATTGAATATGTCTCGTAACTATCCTAGTGGGGCAAAAAAACGCGCATTATCGGTGAAAAAAAGAAAGATCGAAGCTGAGCTTGCTGAAAAAACTACAAAACTGCTCTCCTTTTTCAAACCAACTTCGAGTACCAAGGAAAATAGTCACATAGAAAAGGGATCTGCAATTGAATCAGACACCGCCGGGGTAAAAGATGTAGAGCAGGCTCCTACTTTAAAACAATGTGATTTGAAAGATGATACAGCAAAACCCCTTGAAGATAGTCATGCTATATACGACCTTCATTTTTGGCCAGAGCGGGAAAAGATGTCAGAGGCATTTAGAAACTATTGGATTCAACGTGGTACTACACCATGTCAAAACAAAAACGGGGACTTTAAAGAATCGGTCATACAGTTAGAAAGAGAGTCACAACGTCGGTTCTGCACCATTTCTTTATTCACACGTGTCCATGCACGAACAGGAGAAAAATTTGAAAGAAATTGGTTGTGTTATTCCAAAACAAGCGGGTGTGTTTATTGTTTTGTATGTAAGCTGATGTCACCTATAACTAACAAAATGACATCAGGGTTCAAACAATGGAAAAGTGCCCATGAAGTGCTATCTAGGCATGAAAATTCAAAACAACATATTGATTCATTGGCAGCGCTGTGTTCACGAAAATCTACTGGTCAGATTGACAGGAAACTTGTAACGCAATATGAAAGTGAAATTCAGTACTGGAGACAAGTACTTCACAGAATCGTGAGTGTGGTACAGTTTCTTTGTATTCGTGGTCTTCCGTTCCGGGGCAGAACTGAAGAGGTTGGCTCCCCAAACAATGGGAATTATCTCGGGTTGCTGGAGCTGTTAAGTCAGTACGATACCTTTCTCGCAGAACATATGCGGATACACGCCAACAAAGGACGAGGACATACATCCTACATATCTTCAACAATATGTGAGGAGATGATTGAACTTATGGGCCAAAAGGTTTTGTCTGTAATTGTAGATGAAATAAAGACAGCGAAATATTTTTCTATATCTGTAGATTCGACTCCAGATGTTTCACATGTTGATCAACTCACAATCGTTATTCGCTATGTACAAGACACCGGACCTATTGAGCGCTTCTTAAAATTTGTACCAATGTTTTCACACACTGGTTCGGAAATAGCTAATTTAATATTAACATTTTTGGAAGAAAATGGAATTGACATTAAAAATTGTCGCGGTCAATCATATGACAACGCGTCCAACATGAGCGGCAAGTATAACGGCGTTCAGGCTAAAATCCGGGAGAAGTGTGACGTAGCATTGTATGTACCGTGCACAGCACATTCACTCAATTTAGTTGGGAACTGCGCAGCTGAGTGCTGCCCCACGTCAGTTGGGTTTTTTAATCTCCTTCAGAGCCTTTACTCTTGGCTTTCTGCATCTACCCATCGTTGGCATATACACAACAAGCACATGAATGGATTGCCTGTTGCTAAAGCTTTGTCGGAAACCAGATGGTCCGCTCGACATGATGCTGTTAAGGCTTTAAATAGAGGGTATAAGGAAAATATATCGGCTTTGGAGGAGTTAGCAGCCGATGAAAATCAACCTCTTAAATGTAGAGCTGAAGCTGAAGGATATCTTAAAAGTTTACAAAAACTAGAAACAGTAATATTATTGGAGGTATGGGATACAATTTTAGAGAGATTGCAAAAAACAAATGTATCTCTTCAAGAAAAAGGTTTATCTCTTAATACAGCAGTTAATTTGTTAAAATCTGTTCTCCTTTTTATTGAAAGTCAACGTAATGAATTCGCTAGCTTCGAATCAAAAGGAAAAATTAAATGTGAAGTCAAAGACTACACATATTCCAACAGACGACCACTAAAGAGGAAGCGACAATTTGACGAAAGCAAAGTTTCAGAAATGCAACTTTCTCCTAGAGAAAAATTTATGACTGAAGTATTCATCTGTGTGATCGACCACCTAACGACAGCTCTACATCATCGCTTAGATTCCTATAAAACTGTTCAAGAAATGTTAGATTTCTTCACTGACTTGACCAACCTTAGCACTGGTGACATTACAGGAGCAGCTACAAAACTGATCAACAAATATCCCGATTACTTTGAAGAATGTTTTTCATCGGAGTTGATTCAATTCGCCGAGCTGTTTAAATCAATTCATGGGGGAAAAGAGCAAAACGTCTACAATGATAGCATTGAATTAGAAATGTTGATGTTTTTAAATAGATTCAAGTGCATTCAGAGCTTTCCAAATGTGCACATTGCTCTTCGAATTTATCTGTGTATGATGACGTCTAACTGCAGTGGAGAGCGCTCATTTTCCAAAATGAAAAAGATTAAAAGCGATCTTAGAAGCACTATGGGACAGCAGAGACTTAGTATGCTCTCACTTATGAGCATAGAAAATGACATTGTAAGCTCACTAAATTATACAGAACTAATAGAAGAGTTTGCTATCAGGAAAGCTCGAAAATGTTCCCTATAAAAGTTACTTGCTCTTTAGTTCTAAATAAAAACAACTGTAATAAATGTAAGTATTCATAATTTCTTTTGCATTAGTAAATAAATAATTGTCACTTTAAATGCTCTTAAGTCTCAATGTAATTTAACATTACATTTAATGTAACATTTTTTGTATATGCCATGGCTTCTGTTAACATTTAGCTTATTCCATTCAACCTTTATTTTTGGAAAGGCATCTGTTTTGTGATGTCATTATATAAACTACGCATATATATATATATATATATATATATATATATATATATATATATATATATATATATATATATATATATATATATATATATATATATATATATATATATATATATATATATAGTTTAGGGGGCCCCGAAAAAAGTTTCAGCCAGGGGCCCCGCAGAAGCTTAATCCGCCCCTGCGTATATGAAAAGGATAGAGAAAGTGTTGTAATCGCGCTAAAAAAAAATAGAGATTTTTGCAAATCTCGACGTTTTACACTTACTTGAGTTGGAAAAACTTTTCAGTATGTGTGTGTCTGTGTGTGTGTGTGTAAGCAACGTTTCCTCTAAGGAGAAAAAGCTGTGTGCAATTTGTATTTTGTGTGCGCGATGTTCTAAAAGTCGTATACAAGGATATATTTATTTTACAAAAGGACTGCGTGGCTGGTTCAAAACTACTGCGCCGTCGCGCAACCGCGCAGCTTAGAGGGAACACTGCATGTAAGTAAAAGATCTAATTCTCTGCCTTATGTCAAATTTTGAGTAACCGGAAATAGTTATTTTCGCTATTTCTGATTTATCAAAAAACGCATGTGAATTTATAAAGTACTAATAATATTCCGCACTATTATACACATTTTGCTTGTCGTTCGCTTGGTGCGCAATTCTTTTTTCTTTGAGATTCTATTCTATTTTAAAAAGTTTAAGTAATTAAAAAGCATGTCTATATCCCGGGTTGGCATCCCCCGCAGTGTTATATAAGAATATTCGAGAAAGTTTAGAGGAGATCACACCCGGTATATTTAACATGTGATTTACCCAATTTTATAATGACTAAATGTGATCTTTTATACGGTAAAATTATTTCTTTCATAAACCTTATCATGCTTATATCAATCAAGGTAAATTAATTATTTTGTAAAACATGTATTAAAAATCAGTATGTCTATGATTGTGTACGATTGTAGGATTATGTAAGGAGGTTATGTGTGAAAAGATATAATTGTAACAAATATATTTAAAATGTCAAATACGTCCAATTTTATTTTTAGAAAGAGGAAATAATAATAAGAATAATATATCTTAGTTTTAAGTATTTATTAGTTTAATTAGACAAATTAATAAATAGTATCATATTCAAATCAATCCAACTTTTGAGTGTAGTGCCATAGTTTGAGCACCAGGTCATTATGAGATCATTCTTTCAAACGGTCAACTCACACATATTTATACAACACACAAAACATTTTTTAAATTTTCAAATTTTATTTCACTTTAAAAAATTGAAGCATAGAAAAATATAAGGATAAAACATTCTAAAGATACATCCTTGTATAGTTTTATAATCACCAGCCAAGTTTTAAAATTGTCATTTGAAATTGGAGACTTCTCGTGTAGGGTCATGGTCAGCCTAGAACTGATTCACAGATGGAGGAGTTGATGTTTTAGTCTGGTGGGTGTATGGGCTGGTTTGTACTTCAAGTAAAATGTCAGTAACCTTTTCTAGTAGGGCCATGCATTGGATGGCCAAGGTTATTCATACTGGGATGGCCAGTGAGTGAGCCATATTGAGGCTGAATGTTTGGGGCCATCTGAGGTTGATGGCCTGGAAAAAACTGAGAGGGTCCCACATTTTGATATCTGGCATCATGACGTAATGGGTTGACAGTTACATGGGGGCCTAGAGTTTGAGATCTGTCGATGTTTGAGGGCCTCAAATGTTGTTGTGGGACACCACACACGTCCCCTACTGACCGAGGATAGGGGACATAGAATACTGTGGTCTCACTGGGGCCAGTCACGTGATATTGATGATAGAATGGCGCCATCTTCTGGTCAAGTTGTGACGTCATCTGATTGAATGTTGGGTTAATGTATGGTGCTGGGATTGTGGTGCTGGTCATCTGTTGGCCAGTTCCATGAGGTGTGTTAGGGGTCATCTGATGGCCAGTTCCATGAGGTGTGTTAGGGGTCATCTGATGGCCAGTTCCATGAGGTGTAGTGGTCATCTGATGGCCAGTTCCATGAGGTGTAGTAGGGGTCATCTGATGGCCAGTTCCATGAGGTGTAGTGGTCATCTGATGGCCAGTTTCATGAGGTGTAGTGGTCATCTGATGGCCAGTTCCATGAGGTGTAGTGGTCATCTGATGGCCAGTTCCATGGGGTGTAGGGGTTATCTGATGGCCAGTTCCATGAGGTGTAGTGGTCATCTGATGGCCAGTTCCATGAGGTGTAGTGGTCATCTGATGGCCAGTTCCATGAGGTGTGGTAGTGGTCATCTGATGGCCAGTTCCATGAGGTGTGGTAGTGGTCATCTGATGGCCAGTTCCATGAGGTGTGGTAGTGGTCATCTGATGGCCAGTTCCATGAGGTGTAGGGGTCATCTGATGGCAAATTCCATGAGGTGTGGTAGTGGTCATCTGATGGCCAGTTCCATGAGGTGTAGTGGTCATCTGATGGCCAGTTCCATGAGGTGGAATCTTACAGTTCAGTACCTCCATGGGATTGTCTGACTGCAGAATTCGGAGACGTTGGGCCTCTGTTAGGGGGAGACCATTGTTGAAGAAGGACAGGTAGTTGAAGATTGAAGGGTAAAGGTCTATGACAGAGTTCATGACGTTACGTTTACTGCCCAATCTGTGTCCATTGTTTGGGTTGAGTGGTACCAGTGTTTCCATTTTATCAAAAGCGTTTCTTATCTTCTGTTGTCTGGCTCGCTCCTACAAGGACAGAGACAAAAAAAAAGTTATTTTAATTAATTAAATCGTAGCAGTCTGTCTTCATAAGTTTTTCCCTACCTTACTTATCTATTTTTAAATAGTTTCATTTATGTTCATTATGTCTATAGTAGTTATATTTATATTAGATAAAAAATTACTAACAATCTGCGGCTTACATTTATACAATATTTACTAGTATTTTCTATTTATTTTCTAATATCGGTCAACTGTATTTAATTATTTTTGTATCTGCATGTTTTGTAGGGCTTAAAATAATAAACAAATATTTTGTAGGGCTTTTCAGAATAGAGTTATAATTGTTTTCTACATGTTGTAAGTTATTTTAACTAATTAAATGGTATCAATCTACTTTAGTCTTTCCCTCCTATAATTATCTATTTTAAAATGGTTTCATTTATGTTATTTATATCTATATTAATTATATTTGCATTATATATAAATCACTAGATAATAGATATCTAATTCATACATATGTACTAATATGTTCCTTTTATTTGCTGATATAGGTGTACTGTATGAGGTAGCTTTTGTAGAGATTTTCAGATTATAGATTAAATGTTTTGTAGATGAGGCCGGGGCTAATGATAATTTAATACTAGTGTATAAGTTAAAAACATGTCGTATGTAAAGATATGAGTATAGGCTTACACATTGTACACTTTAAAAATCCATCTTTAATTATTCGTTAATTACTCTTCCTAATACATTTGGATGAACTAAATAGTGACGACATGCATTTAACGCAATAAAGATAAGATACATTCAAATAAACGTAGAAAATTGCGAACATACCTGGGCGTTGACTTTTTGTCTTTTTCTCTCAGCCTCCTGATCCTCTAAAGGTGTGCCTCGTCTTTTACGTGAGACAGGTACATTGGCAGGTGGGATGTTAGGCCTGGGATTTGGCTCCATGTTCAACACCTGGTCAAAGACTCGCAGTGCCGTCTGGGATGAAATCAACACAAAGTCTAGATCAACAGACGGTGTGGTGAGATAACGTTCAAATGGTCATAGACTTGATCTCTCAGTATCCAATGACTTGAGACATATGAGACTGACTACCGAACTGACCAGTATTATAAGGGGCGACACCTCGCTGACCACTCCTCCCATTGGCTGGTAGAGAACAAAAGGTTCGTTAGCTCAGTCAGCAACAGGTCAAGCGACGTTAGTGACGCGGCACTGGTACACCTGATCACGTGATCCAACCCTAGTCGCTGATTGGTCCAAACTCTCTCCTCCTTGTGTCGGAGGGGGCGTGGCCATCAGACCGGAAATGTAAATGTTTTTTCAAGTGTCAAATGTTTTGTTTATATTCATTTTGGTACACAAGTTAAATATTTTTACAATCAAAATAAACGTCAATTAGTGACTAAGTTTATTATTTGGTCAAGTATTTTCATTGAGTTTTAAAGCCCTTACCCTAATCAGAACACATTTAAAGTTATTTTTATGAAAACTATCAAAAATATCAGAACTCGAGCTCTTCATGACTGAACAAAATAAATTAACCTCGTCATGTGGATGTAGCAGTAAGTAGATGTCGTAGGAAAAACAAGTATCCAAATTATTATTCCTGTCTTTGTTTCAATCAAGACTTCTAAATTACACCATTAATTGCTGTCTGTTATTTAAACGATACGGCTCAACGATAGCCAGTAAAACGTGTAGACGTGTATAACATCTGTACACCTGACCTGGTGTACAAACTGGACAATAACCTGCCAGGATTTGAAACTCTCTTTCACCCCCGGGCCTACTGTCCCCACCCTAAGACAAAAAAAAACTTTAAAACAATGAAATAAGGGGAAGAACCAATTATCCTAATATAGACATTATTTTAAACCTCAAATTTTTAATAATTTGAAAGCGATTCTCCAACATTTGGAGACACACTTCGAGATACGCGGACAAACACACACACACACACGGTATAAACAGTTTCAAGAAACAAAGAATTTGTGGGGGGAGGGGTGTGAGTCCGGCGTGGCTTTACCAGGACTGACCTTCACCCTTATGGGGACACAAGAGGCGATCAAACC